AAGTTTAATGTTCGAAAAAATGCATTCGAATATTTTGAATTTTTTTTCCAGTACTTTTCATTGGATGCAAATACTTCAACAAAATGTATATTGCCATTTACATGTTTGCTTCGACTAATATTCTTCTTATTTTTTTTACAACTTATTAATTTTAAATTAAATAATTATACTATTTTTTCTTTTTGCTTTTTACTATTAGTAATATATTGCCAAAAAGTAATTAGAAAATGTAAAATTGAAAGTCAACAAAAATGTGATCAGAACTCATAGGTGAAGAATGTTATTGGGATTTTTCCTGTTTTCAACACCATTATAAATCAATAAAAATAAAATAAAAATAAAAATATTGTCTATATTTCAAGAGAATCGACAAATAAACCAGATTATACATATAATAATTATTTGTTTCATCCAAAATGTGGACAAGTAAGTTTGGGATTACGAATGTAATTCTTTTTATTAGAAACTAGCTGCCTAGCCTCGCTATTTAACCAAGCGACCGAAATTTCTATTTCTTCATATAGAAACAATAGTTTGATTCTCTGTCAAGAAGTACATGCTGCTTACACCACCTTAAAAAACACTGAACTTTTTCAAACTCCCGAAATGAAACACAAGAACTTCTTTTACTGGAACAATTTTCTTCTATTGAGTGTGAATACGCTTTCGTTGTTTTCCGTCGTATTCTCAGTCCTAGACTAGAAGATGCATACTCACTGAATGGTCTTATATAGGCAACCTGGACATATTTCATCGCATTGCAATCATCATTCACGAAATGAATAATAAAACATAGGACACTTATAAATCAATCTATAAAATGAAAATGAAACGTGCAACCTTTGGCATAAACTCCATATGACTGCATTTATCCGCAAGTGTCGAATAAATAATTGTGTGAGAGAAATATACACGTGTTGAAATAAAACGACTAGAATTCATGCAATCAATAAATCTTATGGTAAAGCTGCTGTTTTGTTTTCAATAAAAGACAAGCGGCTTCACTCAATTGATTCGAAACTTTAATTCACAAAAAGATGAATAATGAATGACAAAAAATAATTTCATGTTTCCTTAAATATACTGTGTAATTTCAAATACTGAATGTGGAAAAAATGAACCGTATGAAAAAACTAAAGTCGAGTTTTTCTTCTATGTGTTACGATGTGCGTGGAGGCAGGAGACGGTGCTGTGTCTCGGTTCATGAATGCTAATCGAATGAATGCGCGTTGACTGCTCTGATTGTGTTACACCGACAAACGACTCACTCGTACACACGCACACAAGAATTTGTAATCAAATTCGAGTGCTACCACTATAAACGTCAGCGATCAACATCAACAGAGACACTATAGCACATAGCATTAAACGCACTATTGCTTCACTCTTTGTACACACTTTGACATCACTTATGCTTTGGCGCGCGTCGTACGTTTTTCAAACGTTTATGTTTGATTCAAGTATTTCACCGATTTCACCGAATTTTCTTACTCAATATCAATATATTCATTCTTACTTGGAAGTTTTTTTTTATTGCAATGATGTTTTAAAATATATTTTGTCGATAAATTTTTTTTTTCAATTTCCAAAATTAAAACACATAGCATGAAACGTATTCATAGTAGAAATGCGTATGTATTAGTTTGTACTTATTCATTATAATGTATTTAGATAGGACGCTAGCGCGGCCTGTTCGAGTGTGAGGTCGGTTACGTTTCTCAATATCGCTTAGCCTTATAATTTTGCAGCGAAATGTTTTTTTTACATTGGTGCGCTACAGGGCTCCCTCTCTAAAGACGGAGTCGTTTCGGAAAATCCACCTTCCGACCAGATCTTGTGACTGTATGTGGCTTTTTGCTTTGATTCTCCGGTGTGGTTTTTCGTTTTGTGTGAGTTTTGACATCGTATTCCTCGTCTTGTTTGAGTACGAAGGCTGGCTTTAATCGATCGATGCTCACCGCGTCTGGTTTTCCGTCGATGTTTACTTTGAAAACCTTCGTGCCACTTTTGATCACCTCGTATGGCCTCTTGTACGGTGCTTGTAATGGTGTTTTGTGTGCATTGATTCGAATTAAAACATGTGTGGCGTTTTTCAGCTCGGGATGCACGAAAAATTTTGGCTGGCCATGGTACTCTGGAGCAGACGGTTTGAATTTGCTCATTGTTTGTTTGGATTCCTCGACAAATTCTGAATCGATCGGGTTTTCACTTGGGCCATCGAGAAATTGGCCCGGCGTTGTGAGTGATTTTCCATAAATCATCTCGGCGGGCAATGCGTTGATGTCTTCTTTGACCACAATGCGCAAACCCAGCAACACTAATGGAAATTCATCGATCCAGTTGTTTGTGAATTTCGCTTTGAATGCTGCCTTGAGCGAACGATGCCACCTTTCAATCATCCCATTTGCTTGTGCGTGGAATGATGTAGTTTGTAAATGATGGATGCCCAGCATTTGGTTCAACTGATTGAATAACTAGCAATCGAATTGTTTTCCTCGGTCAGTTTTTGGGAATTCGTTGGGAATTCCAAATCGTGCGATCCATCCACTGACAAGCGCCGTTGCAATGGTTTCGGCGGTGATGTTTGATATCGGATTGGCTTCGATCCATCGTGTTGCTCGATCGATTGCTGTCAGTAGATATGAGTAGCCGTGAGATTCTGGCAACGGTCCAACAATGTCGATATTAATGTGCTCGAATCGGTCGCACTTCGTTCCGTATGGTGTCACCGGTGCTTTCGAATGCCTATGAATTTTGCATTTCTGACAAGCGATGCAATGCTTGACGAACTCCCTGCATGACCTTTGCATGTGTGGCCATACAAAACGCTCTTGCATCAATTTTGTCATTGCGCGCACACCGGGGTGACTCAAACCATGTATTTGTTCTAAAACG